GGAAGGAAGGAAGGAAGGAAGGAAAAATAAGAGGCAGGAAAAGAATTGAGACGAAGGATGAAAGGGAGGAAAGAAGAAAGGTAAAAGGGAAGGAGTGTGGGAGGGAGGGAAGGAAGGAAAGAAATAGATGTAAATAAGAGGAGGAAGGAAAAAAGTAGACAAGAAGGAAGGAAGGGAGGGAGGAAGGAAGGAAAGAAAGAAATAAGGAAGGAAAGAAAGAAAAATAAGAGACAGGAAAAGAATAGAGAAGAAGGAAGGTGGATGGATGGATGGATGGATGGATGGATGGATGGATGGATGGATGGTGGATGATAGATGGATGGGATGGATGGAATGGATGGATGGATGGATGGATGGATGGATGGATGGATAGATGGATGCATAGGTGGATGGGTGGATATGATAGATAGTAGATGGTAATGAGAAGATGATAGACAGAATTTGAAAACTATAGAATTTGAAACCTCTAGAGATCTTTACCTTTTGCAACTATAAACTTCTCATTCAATCATCCTCCATTAAGTCTTCTTTGCAGTAACAGGCTGGAAACCTCAAGATTGCTCAGAGCATGTAATCATGAAAAGAAATTGTTACAAAAACACACATCAAACATCTTATTAGAAAAAAGCAACCAGGTAAGAAAGAGGCACCAAGACATCATTAAGAGATCCACCCACGATGTTCATTTCCAGGAACTAAGGAAAGAACTTCCTGAATCTGGTTGTTCAGAGTTAGAGGTATCCTTTGATTAAAATCTAGCTCAATTCAGAAAACACCTCCAGATGGAACAAAATATCTATCCATCTGCAAATCTAGGCCTACAGAAAACCATGCAGGCTGCCAAATGAAGCTTCCAAATATTTTTTAAGAGCAGACACATGTAATACTTTTGGTTCTTCTTATAAAAAATACATTAAAATATAAAAATCTTTCTCTGCGAATCCAAACCATGAATATCATATCTCAACTTTCTACACCTCCAATTTCTACATTATTTAATCCCCAAAGAGTTTACAACTGACAGCAGTTCATTTAGTGGCGTTCAAAGCTACAATGGCAATAAAGTGACTTATGACCATTTTTCACACTTACGACCGTTGCAGCATCACGTGATCCAAATTTGAACGCTTGGCAACTGGCATGTACTTAGGACGGTTTCAGTGTCTTAACAACCTCTTAACAACCGAGTTACTGACTTAAGTCCTGCAGGGATTCACTTAACAGCTGTGGCAAGAAAGGTCATAAAACGGGGCAAAACTCACTTAACAAACGTCTCACTTAGCAACAGAAATTTTGGGCTCAAGTGTGGTTATAAGTCAAGGACTATTGGTACTGAAATATAGATTTTTATATATATATATCCTAATTATGATGTGTGTCTTTTTGATATATTTTTTCAACCGTAGACTTTGGTCTCCAAATGATGAAATTCACACTCTGTAGATGAGTTCCAAAAAGTGGCAAGATGGAATTTCATTTCCAGATATTTCAATATATTTTGTTTGAATCTCATCATTGGCATTTAACACCAGATACGTTGTCAAGAAAGTATAAAGGCTTTTCACATGGATGTTGGAAATGTAAAAATAAAAAAGCGACATCTTAACTTTACAGTAGTGGCCAAAATTGTGGAAACCTTTTGGGAAAAGTGTATTTTTTAAAATGAGCTAATAACACCACTTTTTTTTTTAGTAGTACCATAAAATTATATATCAATGGAAAGATAATTTAATCAAGACTGTAATGCAATAACTTTTATGAAGGATTTGCTATTAGAATAGCAGTTACAGTATAAAGAAGAAAAGTGCACCAAAGAGAGTTGGAAGTCAACGCCTTTTCTTTCTTTTTCTCCTTTTCCCCACATTTTCCCCTTCCCTTTTTTTCCTACTATTTTCTTTTGCATCTTATAGTATTAATAGATAAATAAACCAGGGATGAGCTGCTGGGGGTTCGCAGAGGTTCGGGAGAACCTCTAGCTAAGATTCTGTGCAGTTCGGAGAACCCCAAAATCCCACTCCTGGCTGGCCCCGCCCACCCTGTCCCGCTCCTCCCAGGACTCCCCACGCAGCCCGTTTTGGATGCAGGTAAGTGCGGGGCGCACGTGGGGGCTCAGGGACGGTGACAAATGGGTCTACCAGAAATTCAGGAAGGCCAGAAACAGGATTGTTTCTAGCCTTCAGAGGGCCTCTGGAGCCTGGGGAGGCCATTTTCGCCCTCCCGGGGGCTCGCGCAAAGCCTCCGGAGCCCAGGGAGGGCAAAAATGCCCCTTCTGCCATGGTACAGGAGGCTGACTAGGCCACACCCACCAAGGCCACGCCCACCCAGCAACCAGGCAGATAACCCCTTGCTAAAATTTTTGAAGGCCATCCCTGAAATAAACTAAATTATAAGATATTTTGGCTGAATCTCAACCTGTGAGTGAGTAGAAAATAGAAATACTAAAATGCTGGTTTTTGGCTGTTTCAGATTCCTCCAATTTTCTCTTTCATTTTGCGATTAGCCCCTCGGTTCATCAATCCAATTATTTTATTATCCGCTACACCTTCACAGTGATTTTAGTAGTGCTGTTCAAAACTGCCTTGGCAGAGAAAGGAAGTGGGAAGAAGAACAGCAAACCACAAACTCCCGCTTCTTAGAAATGTATTTTATTTGTTTTTAAAATGTTATAACAATCCAAAGCAGGACTTATTGTACAGTATAAAATCATCGTAACATGTGGCGTTATGCATTTATTTATTGTAGAAAAAAAACATTGTTTTCAAAACAAACGAACACCCCCAATACAATTCAGAGCATTTACAGATTTGCAGCATGTATAGTACGGTAAAATGTCTGTTGAATAATTGCATAAATACTTTTAACCGATCTGTTGAGTCTGTTGCTTATTTTTCTTTTACCCAGGTCGTTCTCCATTTACGACTTGTTCAGTAACCCAGGGTCGTGACTCTGCATAACAACTACACCAGGGAGAGCCAGAATTGTGGGGGTGCCTTACTTAACAACGTAGTAACTTACGACCATAATTCCGGGCTCAATCATAGTCATAAGCTGAGGACTATAACAGGGGTCGGCAACCTTAAACACTCAAAGAGCCACAAAGGTCCTAACTGGAAGCCCCCGTTCAATTCTGGAGCTGACCGGAAATCCGGTTCCCCCATCATAGAGTCTCCTCCTAACACGGCGTCCTTTTTCCTCTGCTGACCGGAAGTCCGGTTCCCCCACCATAGAGTCTCCTCCTAGCGTGGCATCCTTTTTCCTCTGCTGACCGGAAGTCCGGTTCCCCCACCATAGAGTCTCCTCCTAGCGTGGCATCCTTCTTCCTCTACCTGTCCTAACCCAAAGCTCTATCAATTGTGGAGCCGACCAGCAACAGGGAGCCACAGCAGAAGGATGAAAGAGCCACATGCGGCTCCAGAGCCACAGGTTGCTGACCCCTTGACTATAACTTCCTTTCAAAGGCAGCCTTTCGAATGCTGATTTTTACTGATCCCCCCCCCCCATTCTTTTCCTGTGAAAACCTTGGCAGAAATTCCTGGAGTTAAAAGTCAAATGTGCAAGGTACCGAAAACTATCCACAGATTGTCAGATTGTGATGTGCGATCCTGGACTTTTTGATAATACTGATCAGGTCGACCAAAAGCGATTAAATTAATACAACGCCAAGAAACAGATCACGTTTGCTGGTAGCAAACGATCCTTTTAGCTGCAGTTTTTTCCCTCATGGGCTTTTAAAAAGTGCACCAGTAAAATCCATTTCTGTACAAACATTTCCAACCATATATACATATGTACACATATACACACTCAAGAGTTTTAAATATTTTGTATCAAATACTTTAGGACAAACATAAATTACAAGGTTCTTCACATAAAATCTTACATCTGCAATATAACCTTGATCTTACAGAATATAAAAATATCCATTTTGCCATTTTTTGGGGGGTGGGGAAACAGGTCTTTGCATTGGCTGACATGACAAGGCAATGCTGAGAATTGATTAACTGAGTGTGGCTTTTGCTTTCCAAAGCTTTAATGCAGTATTTTTTTTTCTTGTGGACAATTGACCTCCACAGAATGAAGGGCCAGCTCTAAATGAACAGTTTCACAAATCATGTCAAACCTGAAAATATTGGTCAACTAATAACTAAAATGCTAAATGTCTGTGGAGATTCTCAGTTGTCCAAGTCATGATTGTCCCAAAGATGCTTTTTAAAGGAGAAGGAGGAGAAAGGAGGAAGAAGGAGATGGAGATGGAGAAGGAGAGGAGGAGGAGAAGGAGGAGGAGGAGGAAAAGGAGGAGGAGGAGAGGAGAAGAAGGAGGAGGAGGAGGAGGAAGTAAGAGAGGAGGAGGAGGAGGAGAGGAGGAGGAGAAGAAAAGCAAGAGGAGGAGGAGGAGGAGGAGGAGAAGAAGAAGAAGAAGAAGAAGAAGAAGAAGAAGAAGAAGAAGAAGAAGAAGAAGAAGAAGAAGAAGAAAAAGAAGTAGTAGTAGTAGAAGTTGCTTCTTGGATGAGAAGCAAAACATTTGATGACTGAGAATCTCCATAGACATTTGCCTGACTCTAGACTAAATTTGTTCAACCGAGTTCCTATAGACAGCAATGGAATGAACATTCCACCAAAGAAAAAAGATCTCAGAGATCTAAGCCACATTTTTATCTGTCAATCAATTCTCAGAGTCACCATCCTTTCATGCAGCAAGCAACACCCTCCCAGGTTCTTTCGCTGCTGACAACATATCGCAAAAAAGAGGGAAAACACCTTTTATACTGAAGTCAGTAGAATTGGGTTCCAGATGGCAAACTATAGGAGACAAATTCAGTGCCCAAAATCTACAATAAAAGATTCTACGAATAAGAGAAACAGAAGAAGGCAAAAATAGAAGACACTTAAGATGCAATTCCGCCGGCAGAAATTGGGAAAATATAATCTGATCATTCAGGAAGGGACAGTTCCATATTACAAATTCTAAAACTCCTTCCTTAAATTGATTTATCCTTCCCCCCCCCCCCGATGTTTTCATTACAAAATTGTGTCAGTGCATAAGTTGCTTTACTGAGTACCATATAAAACAAAATTTGTAAGGCACACTTCTGAGAGTTCCCTCAAAACCAGGCCAAAAATTTACAGGTAGTCCTTGACTTACAAGAGTCCACTTAGTGACGATTCAAAGTTACAACGGCACTGGGGAAAAAATGACTTAAGGATATGTTTCACACTTACGACCGTCCCCATGGTTACGTGATCAAAATTCAGACGCTTGGCAACTGGCATGTACTTATGACGGTTGCAGTGTCCTGAGGTGATGTGATCCCTTTGGCGACCTTCTGATGAGCAAAATCAATGGGGGAAGCCAGATTCATTTAACGACCATGTTACTAACTTAACAACACCAATGATCCGCTTACCAACCGTGGCAAGAAAAGTAAAATGGGGCAAAACCCGCTTAACAAATTTCTCACCTAGCAATGCAAATTTTGGGCTCGATTGAAGTCATACGTCAAGGACTCTCCATACCGTGCAAAAATTCACAAAGAGTCGATCCAAATGAACAACCCAATTCCACGCGAGTTTATTTGCAAATATTCACCCAAACCAATCAAAAAAAAATTTAGCTTTTCAAGAAGTTAGTTTTCTGTTAAAATCAGAAGGAACTTATTTATTTATTTTTTCCAGATTTTAACAAGCAGCTATAACATGCTACTCATGTCTTCTGGAGCCAACTCTTGATTTCCTGTATGACACCAAAGCTGATTAGCTTTTAGAAGTGTTTTTATAAGCCATGGTTTAAATGCCATTACAGATAGACTGGCAATTCATAGGATTGTAGAGCTATTTGTCCGCAGGACAAATTATCCCAAAAAAACCTTTAAATGAAAGTTTTTAGCTGGTCCATCCTAACTTTAGAATCAGGTTTTTGAAAACAAGCTATCAGTAAAGCTGGCCAGGAAATTGAGTTTATAGAGTTAGTCTTCGACTTATAACAGCTGATTTAAAGACCGTTAAAATGACAACAAAAGGGACTTAGGCCCGATTTTCATACTTAGGACTGCCATGGTCACACGATCCAAATTCAGACGCTTGGCCACTGAGTCATATTTATGACGGTTGCAGTGTCCCAGGGTCACGTGATCCATGGGGGGAACCAAATTTGCTTAACAACCGTGTTGCTAATTGAACCACTGCAGTGATTCCCTTACCCAAAGTGGAGAGACAAGTTGTAAAATGGGGCAAAGCTCACTTAATCAATTGTCTCGCTTAGCAACACAAATGTTGGGCTCAACGGCTGTCGTAAGTCAAGGTCTACCTGTAGACAGCTGGACCCCATAAGCTGTAACTCCATCCTCCAATTCACCCCAACCCAGCTGAATAAATACCACATTTTTCCCAATATTTTTTTTAAAAAATCAATATTCAATCAATATCTCTGACTTTAAAGGCGCCAAAATAAGTTCCCTCCGGGGAGTGGTTCAATAAGGAAGGATAGGAGACCTGGATGGTCACCATCTCTCCCGACTTCAGTCTGAAAAACCCGCCGACGTTTACCGAGAAAAAATGAAACTCGGATTCCCCCGACCAATTCTTGGTACTCCCGCCTTTCATCAGGACGACCGAGTTTCTCCTTTTGGCGTCCGTTTTGACCACGTACACCATCAGCTGCAACGCCTGGCCAGTCAGGATGCCCAACGTTTCGTGGTGCCTGAAGCACACGTTGGCGTACAGGTAGTAAAAGCCATCATGATTGACTATCAATCTGCCGTCGCTGAAGGTCATATTCACCAGGTTGGCCCAGCCTTTGTCATGGAGCCAACACGTAAGGTTCACTTTTCCGGTGCCTAAGAAGAAAAGATTAAAAAAAAAAAAAGAAGAAGAAGAATAAAATGTTTGCTTCCTCCTGGAGGGATTAGAAATAGTCCTCACTTAGCGACTGTTTGATAGATAGATCAATTGGGTTAGAGCTGGAAGGGAGCTTGGAGGTCTTCTAATCCAACCCCCTGCTCAGCCAGGAGACCCTATGCCCGTGATGGCGAACCTATGGCACGGGTGCCACAAGTGGCACGTGGAGACACACCGGTGGGCACGCGAGCTCAGCTTCGGCATGCCTGCGTGTGCCGGCCAGCTGATTTTGGGGCCTTCTGGGCCCACCAGAAGTCAGGAAACACACTGTTTCTGGCCTCCGGAGGGCCTCTGGCGGAGTGGGGAAGGCCGTTTTCACCCTCCCCAGGCTCCTAGAAAGGTTCTGGAGCCTGGGGAGGGTGAAAAACAGGCCTACTGGGCCCACCGTGCCATCGCGTGCCAAAAGTGGGAGGAGCATGGGGGGGCGAGGCGCATAGAATTATGGATGTGGGCATGCGTGCGTGTGACCCCACCGTGCTCCCTCCGCTTTTGGCACGCGATGGCAAAAAGGTTAGCCATCACTGCCCTATGCCGTTTGAGACACATGGTTATCCAATCTCTTTAGAAGAGAATAGAGCTGAAAGGGACTTTGGAGGACATCTAGTCCATCCCACTGCTCAAGCAGGAGACCTTAGACCAGTGATAGTTAACCTTTTTGGTGCCGAGTGCCCAAAGCACAAGTGTGCACGCACAAATGCATGCGCCAGTGCCTGAAAACCCAAAATGTAATGCGAGCACCTCCCCACCCCCACCCCCCGTGCCCGGTTTTGGACCTGGAAAGCTTCCCGCACCAATCTGGAAGCCAAAATGGATGGATAAAAATCAATATTTTAAAAAAAATAAAAATCGGATTTTTTTTACTTAAATCAGATTTTTTTTTTAAATTTAAATTGGATTGTTTTGATTTTTATCAAATTTATTTTACTAAAATGCTTTTGGAGTAAAACTCTATCTAAAGATAGTCTTCTATTTAAGATCCATTAATACTTTAGTTTATTCAGAATGAAATGGAGCTTAGTTATGTAGCAGGAGGCTGTGTATTCTGCAATATTGGGACGGTCGGTGAGTCAACAGTGGGTCAGAGGAGGAGCCACTGTGGGACAGAAATGACAGCTGCTCTTTAAAAATTATGATTTAAATCGAGTTGATTTAAATCAAGCCTTTTTTACTAGCGATTTAAATCGACTTGATTTAAATCAAATCCACCCTGCTTGCTTTGCACTCCAAACGGAACGAGAACATGGTAAATGTTTGAAAATGAACTTACCAGAAGGAATATTGTGGCTATCAATTATCAGATGAGCAAATGGAGCTTTCTCAGGTTTGCTTTTCTTGGGTGAATCTGACCAAGAAGCTCCCATTGTGGCTGTTGGGGGGGAAAAAATCATGTTAAAATCAGAAACTGAAATCTTCCTTAAGCTAAAGGAAAACAAGAAAGTGACACTTACATTTCTCCAATCTTGATTGGTCTTTCCCAGCGCTCAGACGCTGGACCTCCTAAAAAGGAAAAAAAAAGGCATTTAATATAGTAGAGTGGGATTGTAGCTAAGGCATTCCAGGGGAGAAAAGTTCTGCTTTCCAGATATTTAGCACTACAATTGCGCTACAAAAAACAATACAAATATTGGCAGAATCTGGAGGTGGAGTCAAAAGAGGGATTAGCCTAGAATCCCTACATAGTCACAAGCAAAGTTATTCCAACTCCCTAGAATTCTGTAGATTCTTAACTAACTCCAAACAGGTGCTAACTGTGAGTTTGCAAGGTTTCTGTCTAGAGACATGAGTAGCAATAAATCAGTTTAATTGAACCTCAATCAGAATTGAGCCAGAAGGGAACTTGGAGGTCTTCTAGTCCATCCCATTCTCAAGCAGTAGACCCTATCCTCTTTCAGACAAGTGACTGTCCAGTCTCTTCTTAAAAACCTCCAAAACTTCTGAAGGCAAGATGTTCCATTGGGTATTTGTCCTCATGGTTAGAAAGTTTTTCCTTAATTCCAGGTTGCTTCTCTTTTTGATTAGTTCCCATCTATTGTTTCTTGTCCTGCCCTCCGGTGCTTTGGAGAATAATTTGACCCCCTCTTCTTTTTGGCAGCCCCTCAAATACCGAAATACTGCTATCATGTCATCCCTAATTCTTCTTTTCTTTAGACTAGCCGAACCCAAATCCTGCAGCCGTTCTTTCTATGTTTTAGTCTCCAGGCCTTTGATCGTCTTAGTTGCTCTTCTCTGAACTTTTTCCAGAGTCTCAACATCTTTTTTTGTAATGTGGGGACCAAAATTGGTTGCAGTATTCCAGGTTTGGCCTTACTAAGACTTTATAAAGAGGTACTAATGCTTCATGTGATTTTGATTCTATGCCTCTGTTTATACAACCAGAGATTGTATTCGTTAATTTTTTTTTAATTTAATTTATATGCCGCCCTTCTCTGGAGACTCAGGGTGGCTTACAATGCGCTAAGCAATAGCCTTCATACTTTTGTATATTTATACAAAGTCAGCTTATTGCCCCCACAAACTGGGTCCTCAATTTACCTACCTTAGAAAGGATGGAAGGCTGAGTCAACCTTGAGCCTGGCGAGATTCGAACTTATAGCGAACTTGCAGACAGCTGGTGTTCAATTACAGTGCCTTGTCTGCAGAGCTATCCAGGCTCTTTTTTGGCTGCTGTCGCACCCGGCTGGCTCATGTTTAAATGACTGTCCTTCATGTGTGGACCTGATCTTTTGTGTCTGACAATTCCCATAATGCCGTAACACTAGTTGAACTGCTTGTTGTGGTCCGCTAGCAGTCTGCGGAGCTGGCAGCAGAGTCAGACAGCGATGAGGCTGAGGAAGAACATGGGCCAGTCCTGGAGGCTGGGGAAGGCCCAGATGAGGGCTCTGTATCGGAGGCAGAGATGGGGCCAGGGCCATCGGGGAGTGATGCGCAGGCTCCAGAGCCTCCAGAGGCTGACATCAGAGAGGCAGACGAACAGGAGGAGCCTGTTCCTAGTGCACGCATGAGAAGAGCTGCCAGAAGGCAAGAGGAGCTAAAGCAAAAAGGACGACTCAGGAGTAAGGCCAGGAGATGATTGGCCCCTCCCATAAGGCTTAAAAGACCAGCAACGGCTCTTGGGCTCTTTGCCGGAAAACAACGTTGAGAGATTTGCTTCGTGTTTGGATGTATTTCTTTCTTGTCGGCGTCTTCTGTTCCTGAACTGTTGCCAAGAAAAGCCTTTGGCAATTTGCCTAATTATCCCAAGGTCAGAGATAAACTGAAGAATGGTGTTTTGAGGACTTTGCTTTCATTTAATTTGGAATAAGATGAGAACGAGTTAATTCTCAGCTGTTTTAATAAAATCTGTTTGTTTTTGGAACTGTTTTGCATTTAATATTAACTACGTGGGCCTGGGTCACAACACTGCTGGGAACTTAGGACCCAAACATCTGGAACGACAAACTTGCTTATGTGTCTTCAGTGGCATTATTTAATGGCAAAAATATTGTTGCTGAATTCATGCCTAGCAGCAAATCTGTCTTGATTTTGAAATCCTAAGGTTTTTTTTTTTATCTTCCCTCAGGACTTCTGCCATTATGAGCAGCTATGATGATTAAAATGCTTTTGAGGAAAATGATGGCAGAATCACTTCCCTCAATGTGCAGCACAGCCAGAAATCTGTACAACTTTTCCTACCCTGAGTTGAGAAATTATCTCTCACGGGATCCAGCATGCAGCACCAAATTTTGCAATAGCACTAGAAATAGCACTTAGACTTATATACCGCTTCACAGTGCTTTTACAGCCCTCACTAAGCGGTTTACAGTGTCAGCCTCTTGCCCCCCCCAACAATCTGGGTCCTCATTTTACCAACCTCGGAAGGACCGAAGGCTGAGTTAACTTTGAGCCGATCAGAATCGAACTGCTGGCAGTCAGCAGAGTCAGCCTGCAATACCGCATTCTATCCACTGCACCACAACGGCTCTTTAGAGCACTGCACACCAGAACAACTAGACACAAGGACAGTTTTTTCCCAAACGCCATCACTCTGCTAAACAAATAATTCCCTCAACACTGTCAAACTATTTACTAAGTCTGCATTACTATTAATCTTCTCATCGTTCCTATTGCCCATCTCCTCCCACTTATGACTGTATGACTGTAACCTTGTTTTTTTTATCCTTATGATTTTTATTGATATTGTTTCCTGATTATTTATTTGTACCCTATGACTATCATTAAGTGTTGTACATTATGATTCTTGATGAATGTATCTTTTCTTTTACGTACACTGAGAGCATATGCACCAAGACAAATTCCTTGTGTCCAATCACACTTGGCCTATTCTATTCTATTCTATTCTATTCTATTCTATTCTATTCTATTCTATTCTATTCTATTCTACTCTACTCTACTCTACTCTACTCTACTCTACTCTACTCTACTCTACTACTCTACTCTACTCTACTCTACTCTATTCCTATTCTATTCTATTCTATTCTATTCTATTCTATTCTATTCTATTCTTTAGCAGAGATCTACACATTATATCTAAAAACTTCCCACTAAAATTACATCTATGTTTCCAGGCATTTTTCACTTCTGGTTTCAAAACATTATAAACCCACAATTGTGATGAAAGCATGACATTTGGAACGCATCTTCGGGTCCAAACAGGCGATAGCACCATCACTGTGCTCTCCATTACTTATGAAGCAGGGAAGACGTCCAAATCTCAAGATCCCCCAGGATCTAGAATCTAATTAATGAGGGATATTTCCTAGAAGAGAACTTCTCAGAGACATGGGTCTGCACCCCAAACCATGAAGAAAGCAGTGACAATTTGGGGAGTGAGATTAGAGACACAATCTTGATCTTCCAATCAAACGTGGGTGTGAGATTTTTTCATCCCTTATTATCAAAGAAGTTGAACCCAGAGAGAATGCTGGGAACCAATGATGAGGTGAATACTAAGAAGAAGATCAAAAATCATTATCTTGCAGGAAATCGAATGTTTTCTAGCTCTCAGTCAGGAAGGAAACTGCAAAGAAAGCATCAATCTTTTAACATTTTCACTAGCAAGCCATAAAAAGTGGCCCCACGAATTGCAAAGGAGCTACAAAAATAAATGCCGGCATTTTTAAAAAAAAAATTTTTTTTTTTAGAATAGAATAGAATAGAATTCTTTATTGGCCAAGTGTGATTGGACACACAAGGAATTTGTCTTTGGTGCGTACGCTCTCAGTGTACATAAAAGACAAGATATATTCATCAAGAATCATAAGGTACAACACTTATTTCTGTAAGTCAACACTGATAGTCATAGAGAACAAACAAGCAATCAAATCATATTAGGAAACAGTCAATATAAATTGTAAGGATACCAGCAACAAGGCTACAGTCATACAGTCATAAGTGGGAGGAGATGGGTGGTGGGAACCATGAGAAGATTAATAGTAGTGCAGATTTAGTGAATAGTTTGACAGTGTTGAGGGAATTAGTTGTTTAGCAGAGTGATGGCGTTCGGGGAAAAACTGTCCTTGTGTCTAGTTGTTCTGATGTGCAATGCTCTATAGCGTCGTTTTGAGGGTAGGAGTTGAAACAAGTTATGTCCAGGATGCGAGGGGTCTGTAGATATTTTCCCAGCCCTCTTTTTGACTCATGCAGTATGCAGGTTCTCAACAGAAGGCAGGTTGGTAACCATTGTTTTTTCTGCAATTCTAATTATCCTCTGAAGTCTCTGTCTGTCTTGTAGGGTTGCAGAACCAAACCAGACAGTTATGGAGGTGCAGATGACAGACTCAATCATTCCTCTGTAGAACTGGATCAGCAGCTCCTTGGGCAGTTTGAGCTTCCTGAGTTGGCGCAGAAAGAACCTTCTTTGTTGTGCTTTTTTGATGACGTTTTTGATGTTGGGTGTCCATTTTAGGTCATGAGTTATGGTAGAACCTAGAAATGTGAAGATCTCTACTGTTGATTCTGTGTTGTCTAGTATTGTGAGAGGTGGTAGTATGGGAGGGTTTCTCCTAAAGTCTACCACCATTTCTACGGTTTTGAGTGTGTTCAGTTCCAGATTGTTCTGGTCGCACCACAAAGCTAGTTGTTCAACCTCCCGTCTGTATGTGGATTCATCATTGTCTTGAATGAAACCGATCATTCTTGTGTCATCTGCGAACTTCAGTAGTTTAACAGATGGATCGTTTGAGATGCAGTCATTGGTCTACAGAGAGAAGAGGAGAGCACACAGCCTTGGGGGGGCCCTGTGCTAATTGTACAGGTATCTGATATGATTCTGCTTAGCTTCACCTCCTGCTTCCTGCCTGTTAGGAAGCTTATGATCCACTTACAAGTGTGTTCAGGTACCTCTAGCTGATTTCAATCATTTCAGTTAATGGCGAAAAATACGATCAGGGAATAAACTCCATCAAGGGGTCGCAAAATCCCTACCCTACTAAACTTCCAATATATATGAAACAGGAATAAAACTGGAAAGGACAATCCTGCATCTGGCCTCTCTTTGT